ATATTGTGAAAAAATGAAACCCCACTTGAGAATCATTAATAAAAAGTGACTTATCCAAATTGGTATTTTTTTATTAAACAATTGATTCCCAAGTGAAGTTTCATGTTTTCACAATATACGTTAGAAATTTTTTCAAGTCTAGTTAGTGAATTCCCAAATGACGCTTTTTATTAAACATTCCATTTTCAAGTGGGGTTTTATGTTTTCACAATATACATTACAAATTTTTTCAAGTTGGGTTAGTGAATTCCCAAATGAAAATAATGAATCCCACCTCATAAATTACATTTTTTTAATCACAATTAAGGACCATGATCTTTAACTAAGATTTTAAAATTTCACGATCCGTAATTGGGATTAATGTTCTTAGCAGGTCCTTAATTGTCATTCTCCCTAAAAAGATTAGGTTTGACCGAGGTAATTGGCAAATTAATAGCACGAGATTTTGCTAAAAAAATTAATTTATAGCACAAAAATCAAGAATTTAAAGGAGGACATGTAATATTTTATATATAAATAAAGGTGGCGGGTTTGCTCAAAAAAAAAAAAATAAAGGTGGCGAGCAAATCATAAACAAAGTTTTTATGTATAATATTTTTTGCACAAATATTATATATAATATTTAAAAGAATAATTTTATTGCCCATCTAATTTATAAAAATAAAAAACTATGTAATCCAAAATTTATTTGCTAAATATTTGGTCAAAAACATTGACAATGGATATAAAATTTTAATAAATTATAAAACTTTAATATATTATAAAATTATATAAAATGTTTGCATAGATGAAGTATATTGAAATTTGTATATTAAATTATTTTGAAGTACAAAATATTAATAGTTTTATAAATTCAAATAAAGTATAATGTGTAATATCTTGAATTTCTAATCTTGCATTAATGACTGGTTAAGGATTGACTTAGTAATTTAATGTGGGATTAGGATTCTGGATAGTGAAGTGTTGAATTGGCTCATTGGGATATTATATAAATAGATGTGAGTGAAAGAAAATCATACTAAAGTAGAGTGTATGAGCATAGTGACACCACGGCTGAGAAAGGATATCCTGCAGCACATAGTGTAGAACTCTGATAAGTGAGAACGTGTCCTGCTCATGAAAAATAGAAGAAAGATCAGGAGAAGAGGGGTCAAGCATGGAGAAGGAGCCAATCTCTACTAGGAAAAGTGATTCCGGGAGAAAGGATGACGTTTTTGACCTATTACTTATTGAGTAAGTCTCGTATTACCTTAACCTCTAATTCTACCCTATTTTTTCATAGTTTTAACTATGGAGAAATTTTATTCAAAAGTTTTAATGAGATGATTTCTTACCTTATAGTAATAGAAAGGTCCTCTGGGACAAAACTAGTACTTTGTGACTGGTTTAAGTCAGAATGATAAAGCTCTGAAGCTATAGGCTCAATTTACCCTAATTTAGAGAGAGAATAGTGAGAATTTGATTATGAGAATGTTATTTCTTGTGTAGAGTGGTAATCAATCACAAAGCAAGGGAAAGAATACGGATAGAGGAAAGGATAGTGATTAAATGCTTAATTATTGTAATTGGCATTTTTAGTCAATAGAGTTATTGATTTTGGGTGCCTAAATTGTGTAGATTCTTACATACGACAAGTTGAATAGCCAAAGGAACTCGAATAAGGTTGTGGAACATAAGTAACCCTTTCTATTAGATAGAAGGGGTGAGGTAACTATATAGTTTGTTATGTTAATTAACTATTATAATTGTGTAAAAGTAAATATGAAATTGTGAATTGGTTATTTTATGAATTTTTATGCATGATTTAGCATTGTGTGAAATTAGATTTGTGAAATGAAAGTTGACAATTTTTAGCTTTGTTGGATATAAATATATATATATATATATATGGTGTAAATTGTGGAAAAGTAGTGAACTATGTGAAAAAGCATAATCATAGGGGGTGAGAGTTCATCCAGGGTATGTGTGAATGTGTGTGTGTGTGGAGATATGAGAGAACAAATCTATATGGTTGAGTTGGCATCATGAGAGATCTGGTGCAGCATTATACGAGCTGATACCATGGGTAATCCGGTAAAACATTATATTAAGATTGTTATCATGGGACATTCGGGTAGTTTAGCAACTCCCTGGTACCCATTAGGGTATGACTAGAAGTCAACGATGCTTCTATCACAAGTGTGTGAAATTAAGAAAATCATAGTCCATAGGTGGGATAGAATACCTTTAGCTGGGTGTTTCTACCATTGAAAGTATGCTTGAGTTAATGAGTGATTGATCTAGTAGAGCCTATGGTTTGTGTCAGGGAGCTTTGGAGGATTGATGGATAGATGATCATGCTAATGTGCGAAAATAATTCATATGAGAAAAGTTATGAGTTAAGCTATATTATGATAAATATATATGCTATGCTTTGATTTTACTACTTTGACATGGTTATTTGTGCTAATAGACATATACTGTGAGTTATATTAGTTATTGAGATTTTAATTTCATCTATGGTTATTTATATTTTTTAGGTTTTAGTAGTTGTAGTGCTCAAGGGAAAGATTTAGGCCGGGAATTATGATTTTCTCAATAAAGCCTTGTAAAAATTAGTGTAATGAATTTGTATATAAGTAGTGGTAATATGTATATAAGTTGTCATAGGACATATGTGCATTTTACTATAAGTTTTTGTGGTGTTTGGTGTTTTGTTTCCCGAACCCTGTGTATATGAGTCTATATGATGAAAGGATAATGTGGGCTATTGGATGGATGATAATGTATGTGGAAATGATGAATGTGGGATATGTATGTGGAATTGGCCATGTGTATGAATGAAATTGAAAAAAATGTGAATTTGCCCAAGTTTTGTGTAATGGACAGTTTACAGGTTAATTGTGTGTATGCATGTTATACTGTGTATATAATTGATCAAATAGGTATACCTTGTCCCATTGAATGTGGTCAAGGCTCTAAAAGTGACCAATGACTTGTGGTTTTGGTTGATGATGCTCAAGTGGCAAATTTTGACATAAAAAATTCAAAATGCACTTGAGTGTGCAGCTTTTAAAAGAAATATCGGAATGAAATGAAACTAGTGTCATTGATTAAATTTTGATACAAGCTTCATGTGGGCGCTTGAATCACCCCAATCAGATATTGAATGTAAAAACATCACACTTTTAAAGTTTGTATCAGAATCTAAAATTTGATAGTAGATTCTAATACGTGCGCCGCGACGCATGTGTTAACAAAGGATCACATGCCACGATGCATGGCATAAAGCGTGCAGCTATGGTCTCTGTACCACATGCCATGGCGCATGGCCCTTGTTTTAACTTAATTTGATTGAATTGCATATGTTTTCTTATTGACCTTGAGGTGCTACAGCATAATGCTTCAGCTGTGTAATATTTTAGAACTCGCATGTATATTATTAAATGATTTTGGAAATGCATTATTTGGGATCCCAAAACTTTTAAAATAAATGATTTTAAAGTGATTAGTAGTTTGCGAGGAAGGTTGTATGGTAATGTCAATGAGGGCATTACATAATGATTGTTTGAAAAAACCTATGTTAGTACTATAAATTATAAAATATAAATATGAATTTAATTTAACTTGGCATAACTTGAGATATATATTTTTTGTCAAAATAATTTGAGTTACGGTTAAATAAATACAATGTCATCTATTGGCAAGCCAAAATGTTACAGTCATATAGATGCATGCATGCATATATATTATAGCACTAAAATTATATATTATATAGTCTTATTATTATTAAAGGCAAAAGGATCTATTTTTTTTACCGAATCAAAAGGCAAGTTACAAGAACTTGTAAAAAAAAAAAAAACATCAGAAACAGAGTCTTAACTTTGGAGGTCAAAGAACTCAAGTCTTGCTTAAACTCAATATAATGGAAAAAAGGATAGAGTTGAAGAAGATAGCATCTACTTCCATGTGAAAAAGTTTGAGACCTAAGAGTCAGTATATAAATGAGATTATTCTTGGAGCCCAAAGATAGTATCACAATAAATGAGATTTTTTAGATTTTAGAACCATGTGTTTCAAGAAGTTTTTTTTTTCCAACAAAAAAAGACCTAGAGGGCTGCTTGAGCCTAAGCTCATTTTTTTAGGACCTATCAAAGATGGGTTTCAAAGCTTGATTTTCCTAAAAAAAAAAAAAAATCCTTTTTTCAAGTTTGAAACAGTATAAAAATAGGCTTAAATGCACAACACACAAGGCTCGACCCTTATTCCCAATTCTAATTATATTTGGCATTAATTAATTTACAGTGATTGTGATAAAGAAAAACGTGCATATAATATATAGGAAAAGTGATAATAAAATTCCTCTGAAATATAAAATGATAATTTGATCCCTCAAAATGTCATAATTTCCCTGAAGTCCCTAGAAACTTTTTATTATTAATAAATTTATATAAATTATCAAATTGCCCTTATTAAAAATAAATGCTTCACAACTTTTCATCTTATATTGGCAAAAGAGATGTAAAAGGAGTAATTTTGAAAAATCTATTTTTCAAAAAATAAATACAATCTACGGGAGTGCTCCTAAAATGAGCGCTCCCATAGAGGGACATACAGAGCGCTCTTTAACTAAGCACTCCCGTATGTGCTTGGCCAATGAATTTTAAGCCTTGATATACAAGAGCACTTTTTAAAAAACTCTCCTATATTGCTGACATATAGGAATGCTTTTTTAAACGCTCTTATATATTCTAGAGCTCTCAATATGGGATCCCTTCAAAAGTGCTCCCTAAGACCCAAAAAAAAAAAAGCATTTCTGTAAGCTTATTTTGTAGAAGTGTATGATGGTGATGATCATGGTGGGTTGACACATGAAACCCAAGGCCAAGACCAAAACCATGATGATGATGATCATGTTCATGGCTGTGATCGCAGCCCAATGTCAAAGTCATGATGATGTTAACCATAGACCAAATGCTGCAACCAAAAACATAAAGAAGCCATTCACCTCGTGAGAACCATCAATTATTCTTATAATGGCTTGGTGTACCAGAAAACCCTGCAAGCAGCCATGTTGGTTGAATAGAAACCAAGGCACCAAGAATTTCTATTCTAAAAAATCCATAGGAATGACGGGGTGTGGCATCCGATCCAGCAGCCCATAAAGAGAACAAGGAGATGCCAAAGGCTGTGACATCTGGAAGCAAATGTGCTGCATCAGTCAAAATGGCAAGACTATTGGCTTTAAAGCCACCGAATAGTTCAACACTCGTAAAAATGATAGTGAGGATTATAGCAATCCAAAGCTTTCGCATTGCCAATGATTGCTCTATTGAATCTCGAGAGAGGGACCCAGCATCAACAAGTGCACATGGTACTTCCCCACATGCCCTGGTTTCAATAATTTCGGCATGGTCAAAGCTTTGTGCTTCCATCTGAGACGCCAACAAGAAGTGTAATATTCCTCTAGTTGTGTGCAAATCAATAAAGAAGGCACCGAAACATGTTATTGTGTGTGGTTGGGTGTCTATATATATATATATATATATATAAATTGAAGTACATGGTTATAAAAACAAGGATGCATCATGCTCTAGTGTTCACGTTCAAAGCTTTCTGATTGGGAAACAGGAGGAAGAAAGACGCAATAGTTTATAAATCTCAAGGATGACTGACCACTACAATCAGCTTCTCTGATAATGTAATGTTGAAGCAGCACAGCAGCTTTGAAAGTGAATTTAGAGAATGTGATAGAAGTGAGGAAGATGGACAGATGGCAAGAGATATATATAATGGCACAAAAAAATGCGATGTTTTTTTTCTTTTGGGTTTTAAAAAATGCCATGTAGGCTCTGTAGTATCGTTGTGTGAGGATCTGTTTCGTTTATAAGAACTTACTTGTAATTTCAAGAGTAATTTTTTTTAGTTTTAAGATTTTTTTTTTTGCAAGTTTTCCGATCAACTAACTGTCAAAATTAATTTTTCAATGGCAAGATGCTAGTGTATCATTTTTAAATATTGAAAGATGAAATTGCATCACATGAAAGTTTAGAATATCAAATTCTCTTAAGTAAATAATTGAAGAACAAATATAACCTTTAACTCAAAAAAAAATCAGGAATATATCTTTTTTGGAGAAAAAATGGGAATATATAATCACTCTGAGAACTACAAGTTTGAATTTTCAAAAAAATAATAATATTGTATTACTATATCTGAACAAAAGAAGTTTTGGATTAGTAGAAGGACCAGGAAATTTGCTCACCATTTATTATTGGGAGAATTACTATACAATTAATTACTCCCACTAATTAATTGTTGATTAGTGGAACTTGTATGTAATTATCCCTTAATTATTTAATATTTACTTTGAGTAGGTTGAGGTTGAGGAAATCTATCTGATGGCATAATATTGCTTAGCTTTTTTAAGGTAATTTTGTCCATTTGCTGAATTGTATTTGTCCTCATTATAAGAAGCTTTAAATATTTTCATGTAAATTAAGAAAAGTTATTAAATGTTTTTAATCGTTAAAAACAACAAAAATATTCTAATTATACTCTTATTTATCTTCATTTTTTTGAAGAAAAAATGTTAGAATTTTAGAGATAAAAAATTATTTAACATTATTTTAACATGCACCCTTACAAATTCAATCAATATTATCTTCTGAAAGACACCTTGACTATAAGATGGGATGAAATACAAAGGGAACAAGACTTTCGTCAGCATTACTATTTTATGTTTACATGAAAATGAAAGATAACAGATTGATGCGTGGAAGTGCTGCGAGGGATTCCCCCCCCCCCCCCACCTCCAGTGTGAACCTTGTAGTGGTCGTAAACCGCTATGAATTTCTGAACTTTGAATTTGGCACAAAAGTTTGTGGCGGTTTAACTAGCAGCTTGGGGAACCGATGCAATTTTTTAAAATAGTAAAAGATAATTAAAAGGAAAAAAAACAGAGAATGTGAGAAAAAAATTAAATAAAGAAAAAATGATAGTTAGATCCTAAAGAAATAAAGTAATAATAGTTAGGTCCTCAACAAATTTTTTTACAAAATAAATTATGGATATCAATTCAAATAGTTACAAACAGAAATTTTTATTTCAATCTAAAAGTTACATTTAATATTTAAATACTTATTTATAATTAAAACTTTTAAATTTGTAATAATTTTGATCAATATTTTTAACTTATTTTTTTTAAATTTGTTGGGGACTTAACTGGTATTAATTCAGTGTTTTGAGACCTAATAGTCATTCTCTCTTAAATAAAAGGAATAGAAAACCTGAAAAGATAGAAGAAAATGTTAGTAGATGAAAATAAAATTTAAAAAATGTAGGAGAAAATAAATTGAAGTAATGAGAAAAAAAGAAAACAAAATAAATTGAGAGATGAGAGAAATTTTACCAGAAGAGAGGAGAGAAACGTTGGAGTGCAGAGGAAGAAGATGGGAGTAAATAAGACAAATAGAACATGCAAGTTAGGGGTTTTCATAGGCACCGAAATTAGCAGCGATTGCTGGCGTCTATGTTTGCATGCGGGGTTTTTTTTTTTTTTTGTTATTGGTTTGTTGGGTTGTTGTTGTGGTTTGGAAGCTGCTATTAGTATGACATATTGTTGCGTTTTGTCATCGAACAACTACTAAATATGGAATAATTGACTTTATTATAATTTCACTTAAACTTACATAATGTTTAATACTTAGAATGGAAAATATATCTATATTAGCTTAATGTATAACATGAAATAAATTTTCTTTGTTTCACACATGATCTCATTCTTCATCCATATGCACAAAAAAATGTCATTATATTATTATTAGTGTATATTAAGAAGAACATAATTTTTTCTAGGATCATCTTTAAATAACCATAAATTTAAAACTCAACCTGATTAATGGTAAGTGATCATCTTTTTTTGGGAAGAATTTTTTCAAATTATTTGGCTGGAATGGCTCACTGCCATGTATAACATTAGGATCATCCAACACTAATATCATAAATGTCTCTAGGCTTCAAATGAACGATCATATTCCAATCTTTATATTTTTCATATTTGACATCATAAACTTGATGTGCTTTTGAAGCAAGGATATAAGGCTCATCATCTTCTTATTCATCGATATAAATTATCCAAGAAAAATTAATTAATTTACGTTATTCTCAATTCATTAGTAGTGATCCCTCATGAGATGGTAATATTTGTTAAATCCTAGTTTTGATAACTACAAAATAAAAAGAAGATTATGTTTCACAGGCTAATTAATCATGATAAAATAAAGGTAAGGTAATTGGCTAAACATTTTAAAGTAATCGGGTCTAAGTGACTTAACACCAGTACCTAGACTCTTGCACTTAGTCTCTTTTTGAAACTCTATCTCAAAAGTTCTTATTCTTTTTGAAATCCTAATTAAGTTAAGTATTTGACTCAAATATATGTCTTTTGAATCTTCAAATATCTTTCTGGAAGTTTTTCAAGCTAAGTCTTTTGTAAATCATTTCTGGAACTTCAAATTTGCCTTAAGTGTCTTTTAGCGCTAGTATTATGATAAAAATAGCACCGACCAATACTATGATAAAATAGCACCAGTGCTATTCCTTTTACTCTGCTAAATATCTTTCACTGGCACCAATAGTACTTTCTAGCACCAGTATTACTAGTATTCTCTTCTCTATTGACTTAGTTTCGTTCATTCTTTACAAATCCTTAGCACTTGTTTATGAATACCAGTACTATTTCTACTTCTTCAAAATTTTTAGTTGTTCTGATTACGAGCTCTAATCACTACTATAGAATGCCCCTTTACTTAACAGTTATTTTAAAAATTATTTGACAGTTTTAAACCGTCAAGTAATGGGGTGTCATATATTTATTTGATGGTTAAAAATCATTAAATATTTTAGATATTACTGGACGGTTATTTCAAGATAACTATCAAGTAATCACTTAAACATTGGCAACATAGCTATACTGCAGGAATATACTTGATGGTTATTTAAAAATAACTGTCAAGTATTTAGTAATATTTGATGATTATTTAGAAATAACCATCAAGTATGTATACTTATTTGACGATTACAATGAAAAAAACTGTCAAATATATTTTGGCAAATTTTGTGTTGCATACTGCCAAATACTTGACGGTTTTTTCAAAATAACCGTTAAGTGAACTTATACTTGACATTTCTTTTTGATTAACTATCAAGTATTTATGGTATGTTTTTTTAGAAGTTGGGGGCTTCTTTTTAAAAGTTGGAGGCTCCTTGAAAAAGCAGCTCCCTTGCAAATACAAAGCAATCAAATATATATACTAGCCAACCAATAATAAAAAAAATAATTGAATCATTATTTATATTTAAATTACAATCCAAACATCTTTAATTTCCTATATCTACCTATACCCTAAATCCAATGCCATAAAAAATCTATAACTGTACCTACTTTACAAGTTAAAGTTTCAAAACTAATTGGCCACAGACGTAAAATTGGCCAAAAAAATATATATGTGTATAACAAAACTAACTAAGCCTAACCACTACTGCTATCCACATCTTAAACACGACCTCAGCTACTTCTTCAAGGGTTTTCTCTATATGTGTAGCTGTATACTGAACACAATAGGTATTCTCAAAGTACTATATGTAAAGAGTTACAACAAATTCAAGTTAATAGCTATCTAACAAAAGTTATTAAAATTTATAATTTAAGTATCATTAAATTTAATATATACTTTGTTAGGTAATGTGGTAGGGGCATGGGTGATAATGTCCTTCAAGAATCTCACTAAGCAATAGCCACAGTTATTGTTTTGATATGACTGGAGTGGACACTATGAAAAAAAAACATATCAATAAAATAATAGTTAAAAGGCTACGATTTATTGATTAAAAACTCAGCTCATTAGGTTTACTTTAACTGTGAACCATGTCTATCAAGAGTCCATTGCTAGCTGGGGGGGACAAGGTCTTATCAGTTGCTGTATGAATACAAGACCACAACTTTGAGAAGGAAGTAAAATATAAATCTTAGAAATTCAATATATATGGATATTAAAATAACAATTGATAAAAATTCAACTTACTCATTAAAGAGTTCTACTATATCTGGCATGTTGCTTAGTTCTCCGTTAAGAGGATCGAGATACCAAATTTTTGGAGCAACATGGTTAAACACAATAAGCATCCAGTACCCCCTAATAAGAAATAACAGTGTTATCAAATAAGTAAATTAAAAAATATTTACTTGTACCAAAAGTAGATAGAAAGTAGCTCATCCTTGGCAGTAAGGAGCAAGAAATAAAGTATCATTGCTTGCTTCCCTATCCTTGAATTGATTCGAAAGCTACCTTACTTGATCTTCAAGAGCTTCCTTTGTAATTCCACCATAAGTAGAGACATCGTGGGGATTAATTAGCTTGAATCTCAGCTCAAG